TGACGTCACATTTTAAATGCTTAAAAACATAGCTTTAGCGTTAAAATCCAACTTGGCAACATTGGTTTTTGAAATCAGCATACTTTAATTAACAAGAATAAGTATGTTGCCATAAATCAGACAGAAATGCCCGTACCTTTACGATATGGGGTTCGGCCCACCAGTCTATTCAGCGCAGATGAACATCTTGTGCTAATCTGCGCTTTATAAATGTAATTTATTATTATTATCGCAACTCACGTATTGCCATACCGTCTGGCACTTCTGTCGCGCATTAACAAGATTTAACACTATAACATATAGGCCTTTTCTGAGATACACCGGAAGTGAGCGAACGCAAAGCATTATGGTCTAGATTCGGTACAAATACGATCAACATACCATCTTGAAGAGAACGTATAGTGAAAACACGGATGACAATATGCCTCGCTGTGCAGTTTTTGGCTGCAGTAATGATACAAGATAAAAGGAAAAGTAAGATATAATAATTCATAGTATTTTCTGAGAATTTTGGGAGAGGTATGTTGTTCATTATATGCAATAAATCCGATAGAAACAAACTGACTTATCGTATTGTTAATTTCGATAGACATGCTACATGTAAAAGAGAATCTTGGCGATACATCAACCATCAAATTCCATGCATGTCCCAAAAGTCATGGTACAAGAAGTGGGCCGATTTATTATACCGAAAAGGAATGTCTAAACTAACTCCATCTACTGTGGTGTGCAGTAATCACTTTGAGTATGGGAAATATCATTAGGAGTAGTATGAAATTGGCCTTTGGCTTAGTGAACAGCAACATTTTAAACGAAGTCAGGATTTTGCCTTTTGATTTAGGTTTGTGCCACTGTTGAGGTTTTGAAGTGCAGACAATATTGCAACCCTGCTCTACCTCTCTTACAATAAGATTAAGAAATGCCTTGCAAAATCCTCTCAAACTGCAAAAATGAATAAATAAAATAAATAATAGTAGTAGTAATAACAATACAAAGAATGTGTCTTTAAATTGTTTTATTAAATCACATCCCCTTACAAATGGAAACTAAATTACCTATCATGTAAGATATTTTGCAGTAATATTGAGATACAAGTTATAGATTAGCTTTTAAATTATCTTATGGTGCATGAGGGTCCTGAAGGGGGATCCTAATCCCATTTCCAAACCCCAAAAAAAGGCAAATCCCAGTTCCCATTTTACTCCTTATAGACACTCTGTATTGTATATACTTTTTCAAATACTGATATTTTTATTCTTAAAAAGACATCATTATAGCATTATATCATAATATTATTATATCATTATAGCATACCCTGCAGGGCATGCACAATATGCTGCTTCAATATGAAGTTCTACCCACACCATGTATGGGTCTTAAGTCCTGGACATTGCCGGGTTTACCATAGCTAAAGGACCATAACTTTAACTCTATAGAAACAATACTTGAGGTTTGGACTGATTTGATGCATTTCTGCTTTCCTTACGTGGCCTGACAGCAGTAAACTTTCCCCATCTTTAAGGGCCTTCGTTTGTTCAACATCAACATCAATATTTAATCGTTCATGGGATAATTTAGAGCTTTCCTTTCCAAATGCAATGTAATGAGCAATCAGACATATCTTTTAAGGACCTATTTCTCTATAGTTTAAACCAAACGGATTAATTCTTAGTGATAGAGTTCTTATTCATAAGATTATTTACGTTTATCAACAAACATAATCGGACATAATGACATCTAGACCTGTGGTACTGGGAAGATTGTTCAATTTCGACTGATTTGGAAGCCTGGAAGCTTGATAAGACCGTTTTCTAAGATTAAGAGATTTTCTTTATCCTTTTGGAGATCAGCTTAAATATTTTCAGGTTTCGGGCGGAGAGGGAAAGCCAGATTATTCGCTACCCCGGCAAGTATCGTGAAACGGGATTCCTCGCTTTTGCAAGAAAGAACCAAGTTCATCATTTTTCACTTCAAAAAAGTCTTTAGTATTCACATCCATGGCCATTTAGCGTAAAACAGAAGCACGATTTAACACTTGCTGGCTGATTCGTGGAGATTGAGTAAAGATTCGTGGCAAAACCTGGAACATTCACAGGTTTTTCCTATATTTGTTTGTACCGAATCTAGACCTTAATGCTTTGCGTTCGTACACTTCCGGTGTATCTCAGAAAAGGGCTATGGGAGGCACAGTATAAGGTATATGGGTCCTTTCATTTGGTCAAAGCTTGATAAATCGCTCAAAATGGATAAATCAATCAATATATTTAGAAACCAAGTAAGGAAGTTGGACTTGGCCATGAATGCTATCTCTACTCAGGAGTGTAAAGACTGCTTTTTGTGTCTAAATTAATTCATGTCTCTACTTGTTCTATTGAATAATTTAATTTTATGGGTAATGCAGTGTGCTGCAGTTTTCCATACCCGCGAACTCAGATGTMCTGATAGTAGTTTCAGTGTCTGGATAGACGTGGGGCGTCTGATTTGGCGGGAGTGCGAACCTGTGGTACACAGCTATTATTTTATTATCTACACATATAATTCATGTATAACATACCAGTTGCACTAGGGATATTGAAAGACACGTTAATATAGTTATTATTATTATTATTATTATTATTATTATTATTATGATGATGTTGTAATCCCTGAATAACCTCTTGCTATGCAAATAACCTTCAAATAGTCTCCAGCAACGAGCCTGTATTGATGGGCTGCAGGCATTCCCAAGAGAGTCAAAAGACAAAACGTGTCAGCCATTTTGGTGGTTAACAATGGATGAGAAAACTTTTATTAAATGGCACCAACCCTCCCCCGAGAGACTACGATGACGTAACTTGCAATCGAAGAATAGATACACCTTACTTTAAAGTATTTTCTCTCCAAAGTTTGGATAGGCCAACTGTAGAAGTTTCCCTACAATCTATATAAAGCTATGGTCTATTGATGTAGAATGTTGGAAGTAAGATATGGCGCCATTTTGAAGAGAACGGGGAAAATGTGATTTTTAGAAAAACTCTCATTTTGAGGTTACCAACAACCTTCAGTAAATCGATCTTTTTACAAGAATAGAGTGTAATCTCGTGATCTGATTGGCTGACAGCTTTGATCAATAAGAGGCCAAATGAAGAATCGCATACGCACGGAGCCAGTGCGCGCTCATGAAGCCGTTTTTCTTTTAAAACATTTCCTTGTTTTTAGATGTTTTTTGATTTTGCTATTGTGTAAAACCAAACGCTCATAGATTTCCATTGACTATATTCTTAGGTTAATAATCATAGGTGACGTCTAAAATGTTCAAAACTTAACAATAAACCACTCGCTGTGCTCATGATTCCACTTGGACTTAAAATGGAAAATATGGAAAAAAAAGTAAATTACAAAAAGTACATTTGAATTTAGGATAATCAAATCACAATATATGAAAAATGCAGCTAGATTGAGGTGCTAGTTTTGGGAATCAAGCGAGAATAAAGTCGAGCAAAATTTGTTCTGAATTAGTATGGATCTACCTTAAAACTGACATGGTTTTCAAATTATTGTTAGAGTGCAAACAATATAACCGTGAAACTTTAGTAATACTAAATAGCACAATTTCATGCAAATTCCATTGTTTTCTATTGTTTAATTAGCACTATTTTGTATTATTTAGTAATTAGTGTTTCACGGGATTAATTATTTGCACTCTTAAGATAAAAGAAAAACATTAATCTGTTGCTCAAGTTATTTTTGATAGATCACTGCAAAATAATCTAATTAATTGTCCTAATACTCGACGTATAGGTAGTGAGGTTGCTCTCGTATTAATACAGGAAAATAATTTTGCTGAAGTGAGAAGTTGTTAGGAGTCTCATGAATTTTGTGACCCATTCATTAAATTTGGATCATTTTCCATGTGAAAAGCCAATCACTACACAAGTACTTTTCTCAGCAAATTTATAACTGTTCTCACCAGTCCCTTGCATAGCGAATATAAGCATTGTGCTGCTAATATTTTTTCCCATCGTGTTTCTGCCTCTTTGGTCAAGAAAACTATTATGTCATCCTCAACGAAACCTTGTCCTCTGGATCCCATTCCCACATCGTTCCTGAAAGTATCCATTCATGAGCTTCTTCCTCCTTCTTCCTCATATTACAACCATCATGAACATCTCCCTGATGCAAGGAATTTTTGAAAGAAGTCCCTTGACCGAGAAGACTTTGTGAGCTACCGGCCTATCTCTAATCTATCTTTTTTTCCGAAGACATTAGAAAGAATAGTGGCCATCCAGCTGAATTACTACTACTCACCACCAACCATCTTTACGCCAAAATGCAAACTACCTATCGTAAATTCCATAGCACCGATACAGCGTATACGTGTAATTTGAGAGTTTTAGATAGACTTTTTTCCTCCCGCAAACGGCAAACGTGACCACGTTTTCATCGTTTTCCTGTATTTTAATTTACCTCTTTCATATCTTTCATATCACAAAAAAAAATTCTTTTGTTTTTTTACCACTTGGATTTTTTTGCGATTCCTTTTCAGTTATTTAARAGAATTTTTCACTGATCAACTGAAGTAACACGTTTGCCGTGAACGTCAATCTAAAACTCTATTGACGGCATAACCGCGATCGATAACCAGATGAAAACCATCCCGGTTCTACTCAAAATAAAACATAAAATTAGCACAACGATGGATATCCCAAAAGCCTTTGATCGAATAAATTACAGCCAATCCTGTGTTTGCACACATTCGTGCCAGTGACATCAAGATTGTGCGTGACCCGCCCGCCCAACCCTAGGCATGATGTGGTGTTCGTTACCTGCAGTGTGCATGGGTATACCGCTGTTCAATCTTCTACAGTAGCCATTTTTTTGGCTACTCCACACTCATATATATTCTTGTGCATTGTAGGCACTGAGAATATTATACTYATGAAACATTAAATTACTATTATTATTATAATTATAAATATTAGCAAATGAAAACCATTAACTGTAATTGAAACTGGTTTCAGGAGAGAATATTTCCCCTGGGGGTAGTGCACTGGATTTGTCAGAGTTTCCAGCTTTAGCCAACAGGATGTTAGACAGTGGCAGCAGTGGGTCAGCACCAAGCAGGCCATCCTATGGAGTAGTATCAAAACCAGCAGAACCCCAACCTGATTTCTCTATCCTGAATGAGGACTTCCCTGCTCTACCTGGTTCTGGGTTTTTGAACAAGCAAGGTACATTATATTTACATTATGTGCAGTTATAAAACTTAAAGATAAGACCATGTTAGATAAGCTATCTGTCTTTGGCTTTAATAGATCTGCCGTGCAATGTTTTGGATTATATCTCACAAATAAGTTGCAAAGCGTTTGCATTAATGGATTAATGGTATTAGCTCTGACCATTATCCGATCAGTTTCGGGGTGCCCCTGGATAGCGTTTCAGGGCCACTATTATTTATTTTGTATGTGAATGATCAGTCCCTCGCGCTGTAAACCTCTGTAACATAGAGATATATGCTGATGACACACTACTTTATTTTGCTAGTAAGTGAGTAGCAACAATTGAGAATAGTTTAACCTCAGACTTAGGTAATATCATCTGTTGGCTGCGCACTAATTTCTTATCTTTGAATATAGACCAAATTCAAAACTCGCACCGATGTGAGGCTTAAGTTGTGAACAAAGGGATCTGGCGTGACTCAAAGTAATCTTGCGTGATTCAAAAGTCACGAATCACGCCAGATTCCTTTGTTCACAACTTAAGCCTCACATCGGTGCGAATTTTGAACTTGGTCTATTGGCAAAACCAAACTGATGTTGTTAGGTACGCATCAACGACTTGCTCCTGTCAGTAATTTCACTGTTCAGGCGAATGGTCATGATCTCGAAAGAATAGAGAAGTTTAAATACTTAGGAGTCATATTAGATCAAACCCTTTCGTGGAAAGAGTTTGGTATGCATGTATTAAACTTTATTGTGCAATGGTCCTACCATTATTTGATTATTGCTCCAACGTTTTCCATCGGCGGGCTGCCAGTATCATCGAAGGCAGAATTGCCGAGTTGCCTCACKTCTTCAGCTGACCTGACCTGCAGAAGCGACGAGACTATTTGAAGTCGATCCTAGTCTTTAAATCAATTCATAGTCTAGCCCCTGAATACCTCATTATTGGCGAATTCAAACCCCCGGGGGAGGGGGGGTACTCCCATATATGGACTATACGGGGATGATCCGCTGAACAGGGTATGGTTTTTGGAGCTTCTTGTCATAAACAGGGTATGCAATTTCACTCAAGTTCCAAGTTCTTCTTGAGTTTCCTGTCATATTCAGGGTTTCTACTTTCGTATTGACCAAAACTGGTTATTATGGTCGTAAAAAAACGATACGCGAGATGACATGATAATTGAAACGGGAACTCAGTGTAATTAATTATATCTTTTGTCATAAACAGGGTCTACAAATTTGKTTTTTTTTGTCATAAACAGGGTACCCCTTTCAGAATCCCAGCGGAACACCCCTACCCAAATTCTGGCGGAGTACCCCCCCTGGGATTCAAACATGCCAGGAAAATCCATAGCTATCTTACTAGGCAACGAGACTTACTCCGCATTCCACTAGCTAAAACGACCAAATACCAAGGTAGCTTTCGCATAAATAGAGCGCGCATTTTCAACCAACTTCCATTAGATATAAGATATATTCCAAACCTCGGAGAGTTTAAGGCAAAGGCTAAGCGCCATTTTAAACTCTAGAAATAACCATACGCATTGCCTTGTTTCGAACTATTATTATTATTTTATTTCATTATTATCGTTTTGAACTGTTATTATATTGTATCGTAATGTAACTTGTAATTAATGTAGGGTTATTTACTTTGTAAATGTAATATTTATTTCATACACGACTCTATTTAAACGAGCCTATGCTAAATTATATGTTCCTTTTAAAATATTGAATAAACTAAAGACCAATGGCTATTACCTATAGAGGCTTTGCACCATCATGTAATGGCAGCCATGACAAGAGGCACAAAAATAGAATCTTTTTCTCCTGGGAGACTGAATTCTGTCTCRCGTAAACCAAATTGGAMCGTTAACCAATTTCCTCCAGTTTTCCGTAGTATGTCCTCTTATTTACCACGATTTTCGTCATCTAGCCGTCACGATGTTGTGGACTCACGAGACGTAGCCGAAAATTTACAATTAGTGGTAAAAATTGTTCCTGCCTCCTTTCATGGTTGCTATCACGTGATGGTGCAAAGCCATCAGTGAAATATTCTTTTTTATGACATATAAGGAAAACTTACGGGCCTTAATAACATGATAAACTCAGCCATGAACCACTGTCAACTGTGATATCTGTAAATATTATATTTTTGCTTCAGGTGAGAGCAGTGACGCCACCTCACAGCAGGACACCAGCAAACCACTTGTTAGTTCTCTGGTAAGCTCATGCTCAGTCCATCAATACTCTCGATTGTTTCCTCCCTAGTTGTTAGGTATACTAGTATTGCGAATCATAATAAATTATCATTGATAATCTAATAATATACAATAGTAATGTCTAATAATTTTTAATACATCTATACATTTAACAGTTATTCCACGAATTCGAGTCGTACATGAGCTCATAGCCAACGAGGCCTTCTTGTTTTATTATATAGACATTCACTGGATCATGAGAATTCAACGCTTTTTTATTTAATTTGTAAAATAAATATTTCCAAAAACCTGTCGATAGCTGCACGAATGATGTTGTGGTTTTGTAAACTGAGCCATCTTGTTGTCTAACCATAGCTATGGTCTAACCGAGCTATGACAAAGAACTCCACAGCTGTAGAGCGCAAATAGGAAACGCACGGTTGCTATATTGAAGCTTAGACGAAGGAACCTTAAATAACAGTTTATTGGCAGAGCGGAGGCTGCGTTGCAGTTTATACGGAACTACTAAATCTTGTGAATATTTAGGAGCAATGTCATTTACTATTTTATATGCAAAAATGAAAATTTTAAATTTAATGCGCAGTTGAATTGAAAGCCAATGGAGCTGCATCAAAAGTGGCGAAACATGGTCATGCTTACGAGATAAAGTAACAAGTCTAGCCAAGAGAGCATAAATAAGAGAGGGAAACTTCTTATTGTGGCGTGCGCCATGTAAATTCCTGGTTAGCCTATTTTTAGTAACCGGATGCAGTTTAAATTTCGCCTTACCCTACTCCCTTGCGTCATCAACTTGCACACGCGCGCTCTTTCCGTTTATCGTCTTGATTATCGATTGAAAATACCTCCTTCTGATGACGGTTCACAAGTAAACTTGTTGTGTGGAAAGAGTTCACCAAATTTGTCAATTTCTGTTAGAGGAATAGTCCACACTGTAAAAATGTCATCAATAATTCCAGATTAGGGGTTTTATTGGACTGGTTCGTAGTAGCTGTTTTTCGATATATACCATAAAAATGATGGAAATAGCTACAGCCATTTTGGTGCCCATTGCTACACAGGCAGTCCAAACAAGGTTTCTTGTGTGTGGTTTTTAGCTCGTGAAGAGCTATTGGGGTGGCTAGATTTCGCATTTTTCGGATAACGCTTCTCAACCATGGAATCCATTGTAGTAGCCAAGTGACGTCACTGGAAGAATCCACGCACGTTGTTTGCAGAGGAAGCCATTTTGGATTTTCGATCACTTCATATTCACATGTAATCAGCAGCATATTTTGAGTATTATTAGTTTACTTTATGCTCTTTTTATTGGAGCTTGAGATATGAGATTGTCGTATTTATCATTACGTTGGAAGAAGAATCCGAAAACAGCCTGTTTGTCATATATTGGATGGCGATTAGACTCGGTCAGGATAATCTGAATCGTAGAAAAATTTCGTAACCAGAAATTGGAAAAGAAAGGATTCTAGCCAATCAGAAGCCAATAATTTAATTGATAAAGACAACAGTTTATTTGCACAAAACATAACTCCGACTATCACCTTACTCGGGTCGCAATACCCTCAATGAAATGAGTCACCAAGTGTCATTTGTTATCATCTTAGTTCATTGGTACTCGAAAAGCTTCACCAGCTTACCATGGGTCACCTTTGATTAAGGGAATGTATGGGGGTCAYGATGAAGATATAGCAATAAAATGTTTCACTCACCAATCTGCTTCACACCTTTCTGCAGTCTTTGATTGAGCTTTGTTCAGTCTTTTGGTGAAGTTTCAGCGCTTTTTTTAGGCCGTTTAGTGTTGTTTTTTTTTTTTTCAAAATTCGCCCTTCTCTAAAAATAATTATTTAGCAGCTATGCTATATTGACAATTGAATAAAATTAATTGATTAATTCTCCACTTTTGGCTTTATCCTAACTGAGTCATTGACGTATTTTTAGGGCACAAGTACCACATCAAGCATCTTTCATATGACTGGTAAGATCTGCAGATATACAATTACTACTTTTAATTCTCTTTTTAACTCTTGGATACGGAAAGCGTAGAAACGAGTTATTGTGAGGGATCTGAATATGCAAATATGTCACTCGCTCGCTTACTCACTAAGGGCCTGCTTACATGAGGGAGTGGCCCCTACCTAGTAGAGTTACCCTAGGTGGTAGGGTAACCCTTCTCTATTGTAAATATGCCGTCTGTTTACATGTGAGGTAGGGTGCCCCTAGTGGTGGGGCTAACCTATCTGGAAGGTAGGGTGACCCTACCTCGTAGAGGCGAGTTTTGCTGACAGCCCATGTAAACACAAAACATAGGGCTAGCGCTGGGGGTAGAGCTGTGATTGCTCATACCGCTGACACCGCTCAGCGAAATGGAAGTAAAATGGCGGACAATTCATACAAACCCGGGGAATATTTTCCACTGCTCATTTGGTCTACGCCAAATCCTCCCTTTACGGCATACTTGTCTTCTGACGTTACGGAGTTGATTCATTGTAATGCCATGAATGTACACTACGACCAACCAACTTTGCAATCAAGTCAATCTCGTACCCAAAGCCGGCCTACCTTTCTTTTGTATGAATGTACACTACGACCAACCAACTTTGTAATCAAGTCAATCTCGTACCCAAAGCCGGCCTACCTTTCTTCTGGTCTGCGGCGAAGAACCAGGGCTTTAGAGGCTCCTTCTTCGCCGCAGGTCAGAAGAAACGCAAGCTCTGGGTACGAGATTGCTATCAAGTGTAACTGACTACGAGTGCTAAATTATTCCTGCCGTCATTTTTGTTGATTAAGATATGGTGAACAACCCTCCGCTGAATCCCGGGGCGACACGGAGAGTAGTTAGTGTGATGTAGACACCAAACACAGATCGTTGGGGTTGTTGGCTGTTCTGGTTTCGTGTTTGCCGCGAAGTGTCACTTTCTATCTTAGGAGTGGTTAATATACAGACCGCTATGCAATGGAAGAGAGCCATGAGACATTCTCTCGCTTTCTTAATCCGATAACCACTGATCCATCACAGCGGCCATGTTGACGTACCAAACCAATAAATTTTTTATCCTCGGGAAATTGAACTCAATTTTATGCAAAATCTGTGCAGAAAGTTTCTAAATTTCTATTGCTTCTTCTCACGCGAGTAAAAGCGCTCTATAGCACATCTAGTCTCCTACACAGCCGCTTAGTGTCGTCAATGATCGAGAACGTTGCGTAACTACACTAATAGCGGCTGCGTAGGGGACTAGAGCGCATAGCAAAAGGGAAAAAATCCTGTGAGAAAGGTAATTGGATACAGAACGGAAGTAAAGACGTCCTTGATAACTAGCTGTCAAAATTATAAATCTCCATTTCCGCTTACGCCTCCCCTCCCCCCTTCATTCCTGGCGCAGATAGAACGAAATTAAGCTTTTAATTTGTTCCCATTTCTTCAATACATAGGTCCCTGTTGTTTTTTTCTGTGCACACAGATTGCTAGGCAATCTTGCTAAGCTTAGAAGATAGTACATTAATTTTTATGAAGCATTCTTATAACGCTAATCCAATTAATGAAACACAAGAGAAATGCCAACTTGCGAGGTCTAAACTGTTTATACATAAATTAATATATAAATATATATTCATATTTATAATTTTGAAATTATGGTTAGTCTGAATAGTTGGTAAAGGATATCTGGAATAACTTATCGTTAATCATGAATTCAAGCCAGATAACCTACTAGGCATTTGAGGCAATGTGAGGTCAGATAAAATGAGAACAAAGCATAATTTTACATTATACAATAGATGTTCACGAACATTGGCTGATTGGCTCTGATTGGCTGACAAGCTATGTTTTATCAGAGTATAGAAACCTCAGAATATATGACGTCAAAACCATGCTTTCTATGCAAAATTAAACAGAAATGACGTCACAGGAGTTCGGTTTTCCAAGTTAAAGCATTTTGACAAAGGTCCTTTCATTTTGACATTTTAAATTTAAAGTATTTATTTATTTTTATTTAAAAATATGACTTTCCGTTAAAAAAGGAAAATATGTCGTTTTGAAGCACATTTGATTGGTACTAGATTTCGACGAGTAAAGCTTTCTTTTGTGCTGCGACTATTGCAATGACCTTATTTCGCTAAACTAGAAGCTTTTTGCTTGACCCTTGATGGTGTTAGAGAAGTCATAAAATAAATTTAAATATTTTTCATAGTCTTACAAAAATGAACAAATCCATTGTAAGAAACTTAAGCTTACTTTATTTTATACATACTGAGATTTTCTTATCAAATTTCCCCAGTAATTCAGTACCGCTCGAAAGCTGCATTTTCATTGCTCCCTAAGTACAGTACCACTTTTGTAAGGTTAGGTTTTGTGCTATCGTTTGGATGACCAATCTATTGTTTTTTAATCCAATCATGTAACTCGTTCCGAGCGGTACGGGCTGGCTCAATTTCCCTGTATGAATAACAAGTTCGCGACTTTTTTTAGCCAATTAGAGAGGCGAAACGATTTTTCACAATTGAAAAAAGTGTTTCGTCCAATCGCAAACCACTGTTGAGGCGAATCGTGTTTTCGCGGTCATCCCGGATAGCTTTGTCGAGCAGCTTTCAAATATTTTCAGTGTATTCAAGTTGTTCGTAGTTAGAATTAAACTTATCTAATCAAGAGCTAGGAGATATTTGTGAGGATGGCTGAACAATCAAGAAGATTTGTGTCTCTAGACAAACCTATAGACAAGTTTATCGAAGACCAAAAAAACAAAACAAAACAAAAAAACAGAAACATTATTTCGAAGGCACGAAGAGATGTAAGTTTGCCTACTGAGTTTCTCAACTCCAAAAATGAAACGAGAAGAGTCGAGGAAATCCCGCCAGAAGAGCTTAATGGATATATTGGTGAATTATATATGTCTCAAACGAACAACAGAAAAAATGTCTATACTACAAGTACGTCTATAGAAAAAAGGCCAGTTTACAAAGTGCAGTGGGCACCGAGTGCCGTGAATCTTCATTCATGAAAAGTTCTAGTTTCCCGGCAGAAGGCCCATTTAGTGGAGCAGTTTTTCGCGGAGGACAGTTTAACATAACAATAAACACTTAAACAAGTCGCCGACTTCCACCGATAACTCATTCAAGTCAACAGAGTCAACACGTAGCTTCATGACGCATCAAGCGTGTGTTTGAATCGTCAGACGAAGACAGCCCTCCACTTTGACAAACTAAGTTAAGACTTTATTGACCTACCGATTTCGGTTGCTTTTTTCGTTGTTTTCGAACGAACAGTTTCATATTATTAAAATACGCAGCCCGTAAAGTCCTCCACTGGTCATGATTGTGAAGCATGAAGATTGAGACCATGTAAAATGCGCTATATAAGAACCCCGTTATATATATTTAGTTTAGAATTTAAACGTTTTCTATTTACTTTGTACCAGATATGTCTTTTGATTTTAAATAGTGATATTTTTGCATGTAGCTTTTAAGCTTTTAGCTTTTCGAAGAGAATTTTAAAATACAGTAGTTTTGTAATTTTTTTAGAGAACCCATTAAAGGTAAATAAACATAAAAACAACAAAATCTCAGTGTGTATAAAATAAATAAATTACAGCATGGAAAGCGCTTCGTACGGGATTTTCCCACTCGTTGGTTTTGTATCTGAAATCTCACTCGTTTGCTGCGCTTACTCGTTCGATTCAGATACTTCACCAACTCGTGCGCTTTCCATGAAGTAATCTCTATTTACAAACTAGCATCGTCAATCTTACGCTCAGTTACGATAATTTTGTTTTSCCGTAATTTGTTTTCCAATAGCCCGAAACTACGAGTACAAAATACTACTACAAGTGGCACAAAGTTTTCACTTATAGTTAAGGGTCAACTAAAAAACCAATTTTCCAAACACTACACTGCTAGCTTTCTTCCAGTTTCGAAGATCAAGATATTTTTGTCTCTCGGCTCCTTATGCATTCAAAGTGTTCATAAGCTGGTTTTCTTGAGTGTTGAAATGTCCATTTTAATGTACAGGTTAAATGTCCATTTAACGATCTCAACTTTGAAAACGTTTTTCAAACTCTTCAGTATTTGAATTTTCATTTCTTCTAGCAGTTAAATGCTTGTTTTCTTTGGCTTTTTTTGCTAAAATTTGACAGCAAGTCTCCTTTCTTGTTGAACAAATGCGATAAACCAGATAAGCCATAGTCTATTTAGCCAATCGTTTGACGATAGACGCGCGCTCTTTTTGTAAATAAACCTTTTTTCGTTGAAATTTTAAGCTATTTTTCTCGTGAAAATCTATTATATAAAGCGAATAGAT